AGAAGCAACAAAGCCCACATGGAAGAAGCACACCAGCCTGTGTGATCACCAGGTGTCGATAGGATCAGATAGCAGTCATCAAAGAACAAAAAATCATATAATTGTGAATGAGGGGGAGTGCAGAGTGGGGCCCCAAAGCCCATCTGTAGCCAACTGGACATTCCCTTATGGAAGGGTTGTGGGGAGGAGATGAGCCAGTCAGGGTGCAGGGTAGCAATGATGAAACATACACCTTTCCTCTAGTCCTAAATGCTTCCTCCTCCCTACCCACTATCATGATCCCAATTCTACCTTACAAATCTGGCTAGTCCAGAGGATGTACACTGATACAGATAGGAACTGGAAACACAAGGAATCCAGGACAGATGAACCCTTCAGGACCAGTGGTGTGAGTGGCACTACCGGGCGGGTGGAGGAAGGGTGGGGTAGAGAGGGGGAACCGATTACAAGGATCTACCTATAACCCTCTCCCTGGGGGACGGACAACAGAAAAGTGGGTGAAGTGAGATGTTGGACAGTGTAAGATAAGACAAAATAATAATTTATAAATTATCAAGGGTTCATGAGGGAGGGGAGACTGGGGAGAGAGAGGGAAAAATGAGGAACTGATGCCAGGGGTTTATGTGGAGAGCAAATTTTTTGAGAATGATGAGGGTAATGAATGTACAAATGTGCTTTATACAATTGATGTATGTATGGATTATGATGAGTTGTACGATCTCCCAATACAATTATTTAAAAAAAATAACAACCGTGTGCTCCTCAGTGGAACACTACACACTGCTACTGCGTCATGACAGAGCCGAGAAGCACCCCATGGCAGGGGTGCTGAGTGAGGTTAGTCAGTCACAAAAGAACAAATGGTATATGAGACCACTGTTAGAAAAGGAAAATCAAGATAAAGGTTTCCATATCAAGAGACACAGACTTCGATAGTTAGCAGGGGTGGGAAGGAGAAGGAGGGACCGGGAGCGATAGGCTGGAGGGTCAGCAGGTGTTAGCCTGGGTGAAGGGGGAGATAATATTCTCCAAGAGGGAGAGGGGGCACACGGAAGAGGGAGAGTCAGGGTAAGCTATTGGGAGGTTAAATACGTTGTTGAATCCAAAAATAGTGATCTAAAATGTAAAACACCACGTAATTCACAGTAAAAAGTTAAAATCAACATTTGATTGTTTTAAAAAATAAAAACAAAACAAAACAATCTAGTACTGGCAAAGCAAACAATTAAAAAATCAGTGTTATTTCAACAACAAAATAAAAGAACTTATATTCCCCCAAAAATAAAGGTCAATGTAACCAAGCTTCAAAACCCAGAACCTAGAACATCTATACATTTTAATTTAGTTATTTATTTTTATGTTGCCATCATTCTTTTCTAGACATTTATTTTCTATTGAGCCCTTGATGCCACCTCTCTCCCCAGTAATTCGTATTTAATGCATGCTGTCTCAGGAATCAGTAGGGAAGGACGGGCTCCATCATTCTGCACCACAGAGCAACTCTGGGCAGAAGTCAGAGATCCTTCTCACTTCACCCCAAATAACTTCCAGATGGTTTAAAGAAACAATAATAATCATAAAAGAAATCATGCAAAGTGAGGAGCAAATACCAGTTAATATCTTATCAGACCTTAGGATGCGAGAGGGCTGTGAAGAACCAAGCCAGCAGAGAAAACTAAAAGATTGCATTACAGCAAAATTAAGAATTTCCTAGATGCAACGTGGTATCCTGGATTGGGTCCTGGAACACACAAAAAACAAAACAAAACAAAAAATGACATTATCGGAAAAACTAGTGAAATCCAAATGAAGTCTGCAATTGAATTAATCGTGTCATACCAATGTAATGCCTTCGTTTTCCAATATGAACCACAGCTATGTAAGACCCGAGTACCTAGGGAGGCTGAGTAGAGAGCAGGGTACCTGGGAATTCCCAGTTGTCCTCCATTTGCAACTTTTTGGGAATTCTAAAATTCTTCCTTAGACAAAAAGCCAGAGAACTAAAAATAAGACTGCTCTCCAAGATAGATGAAAATACAAATAAAATCAGAGAGCAAATGACAAACGGAAGGAACGATGACAAAATGTTATCGCCCTATATTTATAAAGAGCTGTTCAAATCTGTGCTGTTTACGTGTCCACAGTCAGCCTCCTCCCAGAATAGCACCAGCTCCCTGGGGCCTATCTGTTCACTGCTGTGTCCCCATCCATAGATGGGTGTCTGAGACCCAGTGAAGATTTATTTCATAAACAAATGGACCACCCAAGACATTTGTGCTGCCAGTTAAAACAAACAAACCAACCAACCCTAAGACCTCAACAGGCACATCATTACGCAAGAGAAGAGACACAAATAGCCAAAAGAACTTTTCAAAAGCTCTGGCTTCTTGTGCGTGGTCATCCAACCGACAACAATCGGTCTCTGTTTGCTGGGAGCAACAGAAGAAGGAAGAGACTCTGGACATGAATGGGAGAAGAAGGAAGTGGTGTAATTGTCACGGTGCACTACAAAGGCAGAAGAAATGGAGGGTACCCGTCGACCATTACTAAACACTTTGAGCAGGGACCCAAGAGATGGGAAATTGTGGAACAGAAATTTAGATTCTTATTGGAAACCAGACTTAGTGGACACGTTGAGACCGGACAGGCCCCCAAATCCTTTGAACTGAAAGCCAAAACAATCCCATGAAGTCATTGGGAGACAAACAACAATTTAGCCCATCAATGTCCGCCTTGACCACGGTGCCCTGTTGACGGACCCTTGACATGAGGCTGACAGGTCAACAGTAGCACCGAGGCCCTGACCGGGCCTGAGAGTCAGAGAGGAACATGAATGATAGTGGGGAGACAGTGAGGGTGATGATACAATGTGAAATACGAGGGGGTACCCCCCCTCCCCAAAAAACCGATTTTTTTTTCAAAGTTATGTATTTAAAAACTTTTTTTTTTACAAAACAACCTCATCACCTTCAAAGTATGCTCCATTACCCTTAATATATTTGTCAAGTCTGCGATTCCATTCTTGGAAACATATTTAAAAATTCATCTGTTTGAATAGCTGATAGCGCTTCCCTCCTTTTTTTCTTTTTAAAAA